AATGCTAACATTCGTTCTGCTAAAATCTATGAGAAATCTTGGTCAGCACAACCCATAGTGAAGGAGAAAAAAATGGTTCACAAAAGAATGAAACAACAACAAAACAAAAGAAAATGGGGGAACAACACATCATTCTGAGCGTGGGTGTGGGGTTAGGAATACCTCTTTTGTATATAATAAAATCACAAAACCATAACGAAGGCAATTCTCGTCGCTGACTAGAGCCTTTGTTCGAGGGTCAATCAGGCACTGTACACCTGGATGGAATACACATCATCTCGAGTCGAGTAAGAATCACACTTCTGTCATTTCAAAGCAACATTTCTTGAGCACCACCTGAGAAAGCTGCTAAATGATGATCGTTAAAGGGAGGTATACCACCTGGAGGAATACCTCTGAGTGAGAGTGAGAGTGGTGGGGGGGGGGGGGGGAGAGGGAGGAGGGAGGAGAGAGAGGGAGAGAGAGGGAGAGAGAGGGAAGAGAGAGAGAGAGAGAGAGAGAGAGAGAGAGAGAGAGAGAGAGAGAGAGAGAGAGAGAGAGAGAGAGAGAGAGAGAGAGAGAGAGAGAGAGAGAGAGAGAGAGAGAGGGGGGGGGGAGAGAGAGATATGACCCAATCAAAGACAAAGCGAGTGTGTGGGGTGAGTGTGAGTGCAAATGTTTATGCATGTGTACTCTCACATATGCACATTTCAGCAGGCCTCCTCGCAAAAAGAAATGAACATAAATTTCCAACTCAACAAAGATGAACACAGCTTTGCATTCCTTATGACTAAGTATTGTAAAAACTATCAAAAATGATCACTTTTCTAGATCACAACTATGGTAAAAGCATCACTCATTCATATATATATATATCATAAATATTATTTTTACTTATTAATAATCCTTGTTGGACAAGCAATCATCGTTATGATAAACATATTCACAATAATAATAAATGATATCAACAATAAGAAGAGTAATATCAGTATTAATAAAAAGAACAAAGGATAAAAATAACTGACAATAATAATAATAATAATAATAATAATAATAATAATAATAATAATAATATAATAATAACAATAATAAAAAATAATAATAATAATTATGACAACGTTGAAAATTAATAATATTAATCATTACAATAACAATAATCATAATAATAAATAAACAATAATATAATTACAGGAAACAATGGTGATGATTATAATAATGAATGATAATGAAAGTGAGGATTAGGATGACAATGCTAATAATAACTGAAAATGAGAAGTAATAACAGTACAGTATTTTTCATACTTCCCCTAACAGAAAAAAAAGAATAAATAAAATAACAATAAGTAAATGAATTACAAGAAAATTGAAAACAGGGAAAATGAATAGGGAAGCCATGCCGGATCTTTTACATAATCACATCCCCTTCAACTTCTAAGCTGACATCACGAACAGTACCAATTACCGAATCTAATGAAACAGCTGCAGAATTTGAGACATCACTTTAATAAAAATGGTATTGCCACACAGAAAATTCCCTTGACAGCTACATGAAGACTTTTTACAGAGGTACTCATGGTTTTACCATTGTATTTTGAGACCAGTGCCACCACAGGAAGTACTGCTGGTAATTTTGAAGCCATTTTATTAATAGATACAGGAATCAATACTCTCAGGTACTTAAATTCGTAATTGGAAAACAGTTCTGAAATCCAAAAATACTGGGAGTACTTGTCTCTGCTGGTAATAAGAAAGGTAACAAGAACAATAAAAATGACATATCACTATTGATAACTAATGATAAATATGATAGTAATGATCATGCTGCTACTGATGATGGCAATGATGATATAGATACTGATGATGGTTATGATGATGTATAAAAATGATCAAGATGACGACGATCATAAAATTAATAATCATCAAAAGAAAAACATTAATAGCATTACTGTCTTACAAAAATAACATTGTTCACATCAAGTAAGTGAAAACTGTAATAATCTGATTCTGTGATAAAAGAAGAGAATGAGAAAGAAAAAAAGGCTAGACTTTAAATCTCTCTGCCAAGTGAGTAACCACATGTTTTCACCTTAGCTACATAAATACATAACACTGGAACACAAGGAGTACAATGAATTGAGGAATGCTTACTACATTTCCATACATAAATCTTGAAATAGTTAAAGAATGCTTCAGGGGAGGAGGAGGAGAGAAAAGAGGGAAAGAGAGAAAGAGAAAGAGGGAAAGAGGGAAAGAGGGAGGGAGGGAGGGAGAGGGAGGAGAGGGAGGGGGAGGAGAGGGAGAGGGAGAGGGAGAGGGAGAGGGAGAGGGAGAGAGAGAGGAGAGGGAGAGGAGAGGAGAGGGAGGGGAGAGGGAGAGAGAGAGAGAGAGAGAGAGAGAGAGAGAGAGAGAGAGAGAGAGAGAGAGAGAGAGAGAGAGAGAGAGAGAGAGAGAGAGAGAGAGAGAGAGAGAGAGAGAGAGAGAGAGAGAGAGGAGAGAGGGGGAAGGGGGAGGGGGTTGGAAGGAGAGTACAATATTTTTTCAGAAATGAAGCAGATACATGTACCTCCATGCAAAATAAAAATAAGATTAATAGGAGGTGACGTGGTACAACTAACTATTTGCATGATAACGGAACTGGGGAGCTAAGGAATCGTCATGCAATGTTAACTTCGGTTTTCACTTTAATTTGTCATGTAAACAACTGATTAGACTGACAATCTGTAGGCTTGCTTCTCACTGTTGAGGCAACTCAAGTTTTCATATTCCTTTCACTTCAACTGCTAATAATGTTGAATCATATAATTAGTAGTAACTTGATGCAAAGAAGAAAAAAAATAACCCAAAGAAAGGATACTAGAAAGAAAATACTAATGAGTTAAATATGGAGCAAATTTGTGAATATGATTAATTTTTCTAGTGCCTTTTTTATGCAATAGTTCTATGCAAGTTGAATACCTTGAATTCATAATAGGACTATACAACTCAGTATTTACTTAAACATGAAATTTCAGTGGATTCGTTCCCCCTCAAATATTACATGAGCTGAAATAGTAGTCGTTCATAGTAAAGCCTATATGACATTAAATTTGAATCCAGCAAATTATTCTTGAACAGAGACATAACCTATTAACATTTTTGTGTAAATAGGTGGATACTATGGCAGAGGCCAAATTTTGAAAATACTTAAATGTCTGTTGGCTTCCTTTGAAAACTAATCAACGCTGAATTTATTAAGCCATGGAAAAATGCATTCTTTATGAATTATTATAACAACGTATTTTAAAATACATTCTATTTGACTATATCCCTTAAAGGTACTTTGGTAATAGTCACTGACACATTTTCAACTGGTTACTGTTAAAATACCATGTAGGACGTCCCCTCTGTATTTTAAACATTTTACATAGTACTGATTTGGGGAAATGCCATTACACTGAACTCTTGCGGTAAAATGTGTCATATACACATTACAAGAACATTTTTTCCCATGTAAGTTGTTACTTTTAATATATATCATTATATGGGAAAACTTTTAAGTACTGCACATCTTTTACACAGGTACCTGGTAACTATTTTGAGATGCACTCTATTTTCATCACTGATATATTAATTAATCTTTACTCAGTAACAAAAGGTTTCAGAACTGACAATAGCTTTGACTAGTAAAGATAGGAAAAGAGAGGTATACAACTTCACAATCTCATTAAGGCCAATCCTTTCCTAGTCTCTGAACAATTCAAATTTATAAGCATGTAACATATATGGCTGTAAATGACCGTTGGGATATTATGTAAAATAATTGTCTTTTGAAGACAGTTCACAACTTCCCCAAGAGGCATGTACAATTCTGTTGTTCACTTTCATTTCAGTTCTAATGCCATCTTTATAAAGACAAATAAAGAGAAAATAGGAAATCCACTTTAACTTTCATGATCTTGTTATAATCTTATACCCTTTTCACACTGTATTCATCTAAGACAAAAGACAAATATCACAAAAGGTGTTTATGATAGGAAATAATTAGATATTTGTCATGTGGTGAATAAAAACCATGCAACACCAAAAACTACTTCAATAGTCAATTTGGCTTCTGAGTTCCACTGTTGTCACTGATGAGGGGGTATATACCGCATACAAATTCTCAAATATCTTATTTCACTTCAAGCAAGAGTGCAAGAAAAAACGGAAAAAAGAAAGAAAAGAAGAAAAAAGTATATATATATATATATATATATATATATATATATATATATATATATATATACATATATATATATATACACATATCTATATAGCTTTTAATGTCAATAAAAATCTTCATTGAGTCCTACCACTTGTCATGGTTCCATGCTGCATTTCTCTTCGTAACAGTGATGAACTTTCAATACAAATGATTTAGTTTCAACCTAAACAAGCACTGCCTCATACTGATCAAAATGATTTCCTTGTTTATCCTTTTGCATATTCCTCTTGAATAGAAAGAGATTAAATGATGGAGTATAAAAATGAAAAGGTAAAAAGTAAAACAAAAGAGTATTAACAACCAAAAGGATAATAAAGATTAACAAAAATAGTAAAATGCATAAAAAAACAATAAAGTTATATTTTTAGAAATAAATGGTGCCTCCATTAATAAAGTGCATTTAACTCATCCTGATAATGCAGCCCAGTAATTATAAACTGACTCGCACAAACTATCTGTCGTATGTGACAAGCCTCGAGTTCTTTGCGCACACTATGTTAAGTCAAACTTTTGAGGAAGAAAGAAAGAAGGAAAAAAAAGGGGAATGAAAAAAGTGCCGGCATGATGCCCTGCTGTGTGAGAGTTTAACGCCTACCAATTCCTGATAATCAAATTATTTCAATAAGAGCAAAATCATTCTTCCCTGCACCTCTTGATACACATCTGAATATTGACCCTAAATGCCTACACAATAAGAATGTATAATGGTATTCTAAAAATCCTTTAGAATGCAAACCTAAAACTACTCAGAATTTTCTGCTTCTTTTGAGAAAGGATTATCTGCATTTCTTCAAGATCGCAACTATCACATTTATCTAAATATGATAGGTATACCTCTAGTTCCATTGTGTCAACAATCAATCACAAGAGTTTTGGCTTCAGTTAGTGGGTACAAGAGAAAGTCTAATAAGGCAGAATATGATCACTTTTAACAAACTATTCCCCTATGCCTTATTTGCCTCTTTGCTTCATATAAGAGATGCATACTGATCCTAATTTTTTATAAAAAAGTAAAGTTTGTGCTAACATCACAACCACGATTAGATCTGTGTAATGTTACTCTAATATCAGCATCATTTACTGTGAAAGTGATCCTGTTTTCATATATTTACTTTCAGTACTATAGCTCAACAACCACTAAGCCATAAGAGACAGTAAATGAAGAAAGTAGTAATAAAACATTACAAATACTAACATGTACTTGAAAAAAGAGGGGGGAGAGGAAACTAACCTTCTTGAATTGGTAAAGCTTCTAAGCATGTCATTTGTACAGCTCATACATATTTCAATCATTAATCTTTTTTTTATAGCAAACTAACAATATGGAATTTCCAACAGAACCACATTAGTTCCTTGCATGTGGTCAAAGTGATAACTTTCACTACCCTATGGAGCCACAATTCATCCAGCTTTAGCAATTTAAATAACTTGCGAAAGTGAGAAACCTGAACTTAAACAAAAGGTCTAACTCTATCAAAAGAAAAAGACAAACTGAGCATCACTGAATACTTACCTGCATCTTACTAAACATGTCCACATGCATGTGAAGCATATAAGAAGTCAAGACTTCATCAAATACCTGAATGAAACAGACCTTATTGGTATAAAACACATCTTATAAATATTTGTGCAAGATGAGGACTTACCCTACACAAAGACATCATAAAAAACTAGAAATATGGTATCCTAAATCACATGCTTTTAAAACAAAACAATGGTGAAAGAAAAAAAAGGAAAAGAAAGGGGGAAAGGGAAGAAAATTGTAATGTCTAAACAAGATTTATATTTAATTCTGCAGAGCAGTTGTGCACTGGTTAAGAACAGAGGCCTAAGTGGACCTTGTACACCTAAGAGTTTACGAGGGATACTGAACCTTGCCATATCTTACTATAATGGTTTAAAGGGATCATATATCATTCCTTTTTATCTCTGCATGCATAGATAAACATATTTCATGAAAGTCATAGAGAGAAGAATTATTGAGAACAGGGGGTTAGGAGGGAAATAATGAGATATGCCATTATTACAATAAGAAAAAAAATAACAACCACCATAATAATAAATACAATAACAAAAAATCATGAACCATGACTTGAGATGAGGTACTGATGGAATGCTAGCAAGTTCAGAATATTCAAATCATAAAAGAAAGAAACAAAAAATATACAAATCTATACTCATCACCCCAATATATGGTTCGTAAATAAATCCTTCATGTCACTTCAAATCTGCATATCAGTACCAAATCATAAAACATGTGCATATTCTAAATATCTTTTTTTAAGAGAGATTTTGAGAAACTTTCAAAGGCTTGGCATCCTTAGTTAAGAGCAGTTAAAGGCTCAAGGACTCTCCTGATCTTGGTTAATAAGGACCAGGCAGAGACTCAACCAGAAGCAAAAGGGTTACTCCATCTGCACCCTTGAGAAGGGATATAATAGAGGCTAATAATAAAGAGATGAGGAAATATGTACATATGCACAGGAGTTTTTGTCGAATAGGATCATAATTTCACAGTCACTTAAAAACAGCTTTCAAACTAGAATCTTAAGGTCATGGGGATATATCTGTGCGAAAACCCATTTGAATTCGTGAAGAAGAAACAGGGGAAAAATGACACGAAGACCTAAGAAATCTCAGGTTCCTTAGGCTTTATCTGTGCAAAGTCTTTTCAAACCAACTGAGAGAGAGGGAGAGAAGTAAAGTAGATACGATCAGCCTGGCAGTAGAAGAGTATCAAAAATCACCAAATATCCTCTTGTGAACTGCCTGTGTTTAACATGAAAGTAATATAATTTATCATTTGGATGGACTAATATATACATACATACAGTGCATACAAATGTAGAGAATATCTGCATGTCATTCAGAGCTATACAGTATATATGTAAGTATGAGTTTACTGATAGAAAAGTAGATCTGTATATATGTATGAGAACAAAATACTGCAACACACAAACATAAGATGAAAGTCACGGCTGGAATGGAATAATACATGATAATTCAAGACTATCTAACACTCCTCTTCAGACATAGTAAAAAACAACACTTATCCTCATGTCTGAAGAGGAGCTTTAGACAAATTCAAAGTATCATGTTTTATTATACTCATATCAGGGCAACATTCCATTTCATGTATGAACAGACTTGATCCTCTCTTTGGTAGATGCGTTGGTGCAAATGTCAGTGTTCATTTGTATGTGCAGATTTGCATATACAATTATTTATGTATGTATGTATGTATATATGTATGTATGTATATATGTATGTATGTATATATGTATGTATGTATATATGTATGTATGTATGTATGTATATATGTATGTATGTATATATGTATGTATGTATATGTATGTATGTATATATGTATGTATGTATATATGCATGAATGCATTCAGATAAATACATGTGCGCAAACATGCAAACATCCATACATCCACACACGCACATGCGCACGCACAGACACACACTCACACACAGACACATTGACGCGCACACAGACACATTGACGCGCACACGCACAGACACATTGACGCGCACACGCACACACACAACGCGCACACCACACACACAACACACACACAAACACACACACACACACACACACACACACAGTTCAAACACTGAGAAGCAATAAACATCCTCTATAGCTATAACTTATTTAAGTATTTCTATCACTGATATTTGGGCAAACACATACTTTGCCTTTTATTAGGCTGATGCAACAAAACAATAATTCGGTTCTAACTCATTGTAAGAAGTTTGTGGATTTGGCAAGCATTTTCTTTCTGACATATCTGTCAGCTTTTGTACAATGTACATAGTACACTAACTCCACTACATATTTGATTTACAGTATTCACAATCATAGGGATATACTGATACCGGTATATGTTTCTACTATAGCAGTACTGTTTGTAACTATCAAATGGTTATCTGAAGTTGGTCTCTGTGAAATGTATATCATCCTTAACTTACTTACTATCACTGAAAAATAAAATTAAAAAATAACAAAACTCAATAAGTTGAAGAGAACACGGCCATTGTAGTAACTTTGGTTGAAATACCTATATATATATATATAGTTGATATTGAAAGCAGATATAGAACCAGCTTTTTAAGATACCAAAGCCATTCCAAGGTTGTCCCAGCTACATATGAGGCCATCAAAGTCTCTTGATAACGACACAGGTTTTGGCGGATAGATATTCCGGGTAAAAGAACATTCACTAGAACAAAGCACAGCCACCGTCGCAGGGTCGGTTAGAGGTGTACATGCGCTGCTGAGAGGATGGCTCTAGTGAGGAGAATGTGAGGGTGCTGCTACCTAAGCTCTACCTTCTTAGTTTAACTATTCTTCTTAACTGCCTCTGTCAAGGGCCATGGGTGGTGCACCTGAGGGGAGAGATGCATCAGGTTACTGGTGATTACTTGAGAGTCAGAAGAAAAGACATGGATATCAAGAATACTGAAATACTACTACTCAATAGAAACTGCATTAATACCAAAAACCTGAAGAAATACATTCTGATAAGATCATTATAGAGTTTTCCCTTGACTTCACACAAACACAACATCAAGTTAGAAAGCTTCTCACCTGAGATGAAGTTTTGGTATACACTTCCATCATCTGGGCTCGGACTTCCTCCATGAGGTGTGGCATATCCTCTTTCGTCATGCCTATTGTTGAGATTGGTGGCAGGCAAGTAACTATAATATGACCTGTAATATATAGGGTGCCCTGTATCTTTCTGAATTATTTAAACTCTGCTACATTATGCTACATATTTTTTCTTTATCAAGTGACAGAATTATCTTTATAAGACATTTCACAAACTAATATTTCCTCCACTGACGATCCTAACAATCCATGAAGCAGTCCCAAACTACCCGACTGAAGATTCC